TAAATTTCTTAGATCAGTTTAAACATTTAAATTTGTTTCTACATGTTTTAAGTGTTTTTAAATAATTTTTAATAATCATAAAACTTATTATAGTAATTAAAAAGATCATTAAACTTTAGTTTAATAAAAACTTATTTAATATTTTTATTAAATAATTTTCATAGAACTTTTATAAAAGTTTTTAATAAAAATTTTAAAGTTTTATTAAAAATGTCTGAATACATCTCATCACAAAATAAATCTAATGATTATAGTAAAGAATTGCCATTCTTTCATAGATTTAGTAAAGGAACATATATTAGAGAAAATAACCAGATAGAATTAGTGGAATTTAACACACAGGGTAATTTTATTTCCTACAAGATAGATGACTCACTTAAAATACTAAACTTTAATGATTTTAGTATCAATAATTTTATAACAGTAAAAATGAATTGTTATAAGTTCTTTCAAGAAAATACTCTTTTACATTCCTTAAATAATGAAATATTTTATTTGAGTGTCTACACTAATGATTATACTGCTAAGTTTGACTGTAAATCTCCCATATCTGCAATAAGTGTTGATTCTTACAATGATTTATTTATGGCTAGTTGTGTCAATAACTTTAACATTTTTGATATTCGTTATCAAAACCCTACATTGATATTTAAAGATTTTTCAGAGGATTCAATTGGTTCAATTAACACAGATAAAAAGTGTGTTATCATGGATTATAATCAACTGAGAATTTATGACTTTAGACAACCCATAAAACCAGTTATCAAAAAGAATATTAATGTTAACGGATTGATTTCAAATGTTAAATATACACCTGATAACGACAAAATAATACTTCAGTCTCAATTTTTCTATAAGTGTTTAGATATACAGGGTAATTTACTTAATACAATAACTTTTGAGAATCCTTATAGCGCCGATGTTACTCCTTACTCAACAGAGTTGATATGCTGTTCAGGTAACTACTTACATGCTTATAAAATAAAGGATGGTAATAAATTAGATACTATTGACATTGGTAGTAATAAATATCATACATTATTGCATGATCCAAGTGGATCATCTGCAATTGTATTAGCTGCAGATAATCTATTAACTTCATTCATTTATTAAATTTACTTTTAAAATAGAATTAAATTACTTTCCTAAAATAGAAATTAAATTAAATTATAACAGAAATTTATTTCAAATACTCGGTGGATTTTCTGATTGCAAATTAAACTCTGGAAAATCAACATCATCTCCCTTATAATCAGTATCACCAACATTCTTGTTATAAAAATGATTATAAACATTCTGTGCGTTAGCTAACTGTTTAGAAAGTTCTTTATTTTTTGATTGTAAACTTTCTATTTTACTCTTTTTTTCTTTGAGTGTAGTTTTGATATCTTTATATTTCTCTTCAATCTGTTTGTTTTTATTAAACAACTCTTCATATTTTTCTTTAAGCGTTTTTGCAGCTTCACTGTCTTCATCAAATCCTTCTTTGTTTCTTTTATAGGCTTTTAACTCTCTATTTTCAGTTCTTAATTGATCTATTAAATTAGAATTTGATTTAATCTCACCTTTATATCTGTCAATTTCTAAATCTTTATTACTGAGCCGAGATTTTAAAGAAACAGGATTGTCTTTATTAAACTCTTCAAGTTCTTCTTTTAATCTTTTATTTTCAGTCTCTAACTCGTAATGCCTATTAGTCATATTTGAAAATTCTTGTTTTTCTGATGAATATTTATACTCAATATTACTTATCTCATTAGAGAGTGTTTCAATACGTTTTCTATACTCGTTATTTTCCAATTCTAAGTGTCTTATTTTATCATTAAGCGACCTATCACCATCAATACATTTTTCTCTCAATAATTTAGTTTCCTTATAAAGTTTAACATTATCACTTTCTAATCTCCTAATAATATCTGATATATACATTTTATACTGATGCTCATCAGGCTTATTGAATTTTAATTCAAGTTTACAAATATTTCTAAAATCCCCATACTCTATAAATTTGAGTGTGTTGTCAATAAAAAGACCATTGTACCTATTTAAAGAAAGACTATGAAATAATTTAACTAATTCACTTATAAATCTTTCATAATCAACTGTAATTTCCTGTTCTCTTTTATAAATGTAATAATCTGGTTGTGAGATAGTACAGACATAAAGATTAAAAATATTATTAAATTCTATAAGCCTTACTTCTATAAATGTCTCATGTTTAATTATATCTACCTTCATATTTAAAACTTCATTTTTTGAACTCAAGGTTATCTTGTTATTAAAAATAGACTCAGCCATTAAATCAGGAGGGAATAAATTTTTATTAAAAATTTAATTAAAATGCAGTCACTAATTTTCTTTAAAAATATTTAATTAAAAATTCATGAAGACTTCTTTTCAAAAAGAAATAATTAAATTTGCTGTTGTTGAAATTTTAATGCAGTTTGGATTTGAAAAAGTAACTGAAAGTACATTGAATATCCTAACAGATACTTACATTCACTTTATTGATTCACAGGTAAAAAGTATTAAAGATTTAATTTCATTAGACTATTTAACTGAAATAGAATCTAAATATAATGATTTTGCTATAATGTGCTGTTATGATAAACTTTTGAGTGATTTTTATTGTGATTCATTATATGAAGTTTATGAATTAAAAAAATTTATAGATCAACAGACTAATCTTTGTAAAAATTTAATAGAAAAGTATAATTATAATGTAGATGAAAATAACAAATCATTATTGCATATTTTGAGATTGTTACCCAGGAAACAAAGTTTGCAAAGTTTATACAAAACATTAAGAGTTTCTGTAACAACACAAGAAAAAAAATCTGAT